GCCTAAGTGACCAGGAGGAAGGTGAGAAGGAACGCAGAGTGCAGTTCTCATTATCATTTATTCCCCCTCAACCCCCCATCGCTGGTCTTCATTAAGACTGGAAGCAGGTTCGTGACGGAGACAACGGTGTCTCCCCATGTTACTGCACATTGGGAAAGTCCTTCACCTGTTCACACAGCACAGACTTGGAGTCTGAGGAGTCCTCCTGCTGCTCCTCGGAATGCTCTTCTGGGGTCTTGGCGGAGAGGGCGGTCAGCACAACGGAGTAGCATGTGTTGAACAAAGTCATCAGAGCACGATGGGCGCCCTGAGCCACAGAGCTGCTGCGCGCCTCCCCCTCCCCCGTGGCAGCGGCTGGAGCCGCACACATGTCATGCCCAGTGGCGCCCTCGCTACTTGGGCCACTTGGTGCCTCAGGAGGCTGGCCATCTGAGCCGTGCCCAGCGATGCTTTTCAGGGCCCATACACCGGAGAACACAGTGGGCTGGGGGCCTCTGCAGCCCTGAACTCGGGAGGCTCTCCTCTGGGACTTGGTGCAGCGTGCCTGAGGGAATCGTGGGGAGTGCCTGATAGCTACCGGCTTCTTTTTCTTGGGTTCATCCAGCCCTTGCCATGCGGGCTTTTTGAGTAGAATTGGTTCACAGGTCCCTCGCCAGGCAGGGTTTCTGAAGTCTCCTTTCCTCCAAATATTGTCAAGGAGCCCTGGCTTATCTCTCTGGAAATTAGCACTGTAGATCTGAAACCAAATAGAACATCTCAGCCATGCTGGGATAAAACGTGCACACCCTCCTATGAAAGTTAAATGTTCTGGTTTAGCAATAGAGAGTGTCACCCAGTTGCTGGCAAGGGTCACTGTACCCTACAAGATGACTTCCTACGGACAAAGTAAAGCCTTGGTTTGCAAGCATAATGCCTTCCAGAAACATGCTTGAAATCTAAAACACTTGTATATCGAAACGAGTTTCCCTTTAAGAAATAGTAGGAACTCAGATGATTCACTGCACACCCCAAAAATACTCATGCAAATGATTATGATACAGTAATGTGAAAGTAACAAAGAAAATACAAAATCTAAAGAAAAAGAAATGGACCTACGCGTAGCTTGGAA